CAGCCCCTCGAGGCTCAGGCCCTGGTACAGCGGGTGGTCCAGCAGCCCGTGGACCTGAGAGGAATATGTCCATCTCCTCGTCCTCCTCAACATCGTGCCGACCTATCGGGGTCCTGCTTCTGCTCCTGACCTTCTTCCGTCCTTCTCCATGTAAAGTAACTTCTCCCTGTCGCCCCTCCCCCAGACGAGTCGTCACAGTCGGGCCGCTGAAATAAGGAACGCTAAATAAGGAACGAAGCCCCTCTATGGCTTCAAGAAAGCCAGGGTGCACGAGAAGGGCTATAGGAACAACCACGGAAGGACGTAAGGAACATCGAGCCCCTTCCGAATCCAAACTGTTCCTTATTTTAGCGTCTTGGCTGTAGGGCGGGCCGCGCGCTTCGCATGCGGCATCCTCGCCACGTACGAACATGAAGCTTGAATTTGCAACGGCTTCACGGATGGAGGGCGGACCGTTTTCAAATAGGGCTCTCGCCTTGGCGCCGCGCACACTCGTCTTAACGGTGTGCAGCAGCTTCACAGATGGAGGAGGGCAATAGTTATATCCACATCCAATGCGTCTTGAACGTTTGGACTCTCTTTCCTAGAAACTGGAGGCGCACTGGATATGGATAAGCATCTGGCCCGAGAAGGCTCGATGTTTATCCATATCCAGTGCGCCTCGGCCCTGCGGCACCCCTTCCCCAAAAGTTCAAGACGCTCTGGATATGGATATAAGTAGTGCCCGCAATGGAGGAGGGGGGTCGTTTTCAACATGTGGTTTTCGTTTCAAGGATGGAGGGCGGTTCCTTCTCAAAACATGGCTCTCGCCTCAGCGCAGCGCATATCTATTGTGCAAGATTACAGAAACTTGAAAGATTCGTGAATCGGAATTCCCAACATTGCTTTCTGGCACGACTTAGGACTATCCAGACGCAGCAGTCTCGTTGATCCGTGGTGTTGAAGTCCCACGGCTGATGTTCTGGCGCGACTTATCATTGTCAGGACGCAGCAACCTCGTATTCTCAAGGTTGAATTCCCAAGAACTGTGTTTTGGCGCGAGTTCGGATTCTCTAACAATTGTCTTTCAATGGGGCACGTCGCGCAAAGACTTTGATGGGAATGGGGGGAGATTCATTGCAATACCGTTAACGCGTCGTGGGTTTACTCTGATCCATCCTCCTCTTCCATTTCTCCTCCCCATGAATCACTCCTCAACGCGGGCGTTACGGTGGGCTGGGCGCTTCATCCGAGAAGTATTCACCGCTTAGGGCATTGCAGCTTGAAGCGTCCACGTCTTAACACGGATGGATGGCGAATCCTGTTTTGACTGGAGTTCTCGCAGTGGCGCTGCGTATGTACACCCTTCTCTGTACTTTTTTTATTTTAAAGATCGAGCTCTCTCCTCGGAGCCACGCCCACTCGCCCTTCGACACGCCCAGCGTGGGCCTGGGCCTGGACCTGGGCGCGGGCGCGGGCGTGGGCGCGAGCCTGGGCGCGGGCGCGGGCGCGGGCCTGGGCGCGGGCCTGGGCCTGGGCGCGGGTGCGGGCCTGGGCGCGTGCCTGGGCGTGGGCCTGGGCCTGGGCGCGGGCCTGGGCGTGGGCGTGGGCCTGGGCGTGGGCGTGGGCCTGGGCGTGCGCGTGTGGGCGTGGGCCTGGGCGCGGGCGTGCGTGCGGGCGTGGGGCCTGGGCGTGGACGCCCACGCCCATGAGCTGGCGGTCTCGAACCTCGGGACCTCTCGCCCCGGCTCCCCGCGCACACGCGCGCGCTCTGGAGCGTCTCCCAGCGTGTCTTCTCCGCGGGCGGAGGGCGGCCGGCCCCACAAGATCTGGGGCGCTGCACTCGGCGCCCGGGCCACGCGCGCCCTCAACGGTCGAGAGCAGCTGCACGGAGGGAGCGCGGGCCAGTTCTGTTTTTTGCAGCGGGGCTGCCACGGAGAACTGCGATGCCGTCGGCACGTTGCCGTCAGGATGCGCGAGGGAGATGTCAGGGCCTTGGGCGCCCAACTCGAAGCTTTTCTCGAGCCGGGCGCGGCCCACGAAGGTGGCCAAGGACGGGCCGAGGAGGCAAGGAGGCAAAGGGTACCCGTAGGGCGGGCATGTCCCCCATACAGGCGGATTTTGGGTGTAAATTGAACAATAGTCAAAACATGTACAAAAATAGTAACAGATAGTCGAAGTCCCCAGACTAATTTTCTATTTTGGAATATTCCTCCCGTAGAGGGACACGCCCAGCTCAAGGGTACCCTTGGAAAGGCTGCCCATCCTCGCTGTGCGGGTGGACCGTACCTCACGGCCAGGCGTCCCAGCCTGCGCAACAGTCGCGCGGAGGAGGGCAAGCGCAGCTCCTCTTCAGAGCGGAGCTGTCGCCGTGCACTGTCTCGTCGTGCTCCTGAGTGCAGCTTGAAATCGGGCGTGTCCCCCTACAGGCGGACTTGGGGCGAAAAACTGAAAATACTAATTATCCCAGTGCGACCCTACCTAGGAGTTGGAGCCCCTAAGAAAGCAGCATCAGTAGCAACAGTAAAGCTAAGCTAAAGCTAAGCTAAAGCTAAAGCTAAGCTAAAGCTAAGCTGAAGCTCAAGCTAAGCTAAAGCTAAACTAAATCTAAGCTAAAGCTAAGCTAAAGCTGAGGTAAAGCTCAGCTAAAGCTAATATAAATCTAAGGCAAAGCTGAGGTAAAGCTAAGCTGAAGCTAAGCTAAAGCTAAGCTAAAGCTGAGGTAAAGCTAAACCAACGCTAATCTAAATCTAAGCTAAAGCTACGCTTAAGCTAAGGTAGAGCTAAGCTGAAGCTAAGCGAAAGATAAGCTAACGCTAGGCTAAAGCTAAGCTGAAGCTAAGCTAAAGTTAGGCGAAAGCTAAGCTAAAGCTAAGCTTAAGCTGAGCTAAAGCTAGGTTAATGCTAAGCTAAAGCCAAGTTACATCTAAGCTAAACCTAAAGCTAAAACTAAAGCTACATATAAGCTGAATCTAAGCTGAATCTAAACTAAAACTAAACTGACGTTAAGCTAAATCTAAGTTAAAGCTAAGCTAAAGCTAAACCTAAAACTAAGCTAAAACTAAGCTAAAGCTAAGCTAAAGCTAAGCTAAACCTAAGCTAAAACTAAGCTACATCTAAGCTAAACTAGGCTAGACAAAGCTAAGCTAAGCTCAGCGAAGCTAAGATGAGATAAGCTAAGCTAAGCTAAGCTAAGCGAAATCTAAACTAAGCTACTATGATATAAGCTAAGCTAAGCTAAACTAAGCTAAGCCAAGCTAAGCTAAGCTAAGCTGAGCTGAGCTAAGCTAAGCTAAGCTAAGCTGATATGAGATGAGATGAGATAAGCTTAGCTAAGCTTAGCTAAGCTTAGCTAAGCTTAGCTAAGCTTAGCTAAGCTTAGCTAAGCTTAGCTAAGCTTAGCTAAGCTAAGCTGGGTGAACCCAGGGGGCGCGACTGGGGGAACCGCGGGGCGGGGACTGGGGGAACCGCCCGGGGCGCTTTCCACTGCCCGGCCCCGTTAAGCTAGAGAGTAAGAACCCTTCTAGGCAGAGCCTAGGTAGGGAATAAAATGGTAGAACAATAGTCCCCCCACTATTTTCTGACCATTGTTGAATATTCCTCCTGTAGAGGGACGTGCCCGACTGAATGCTCCTTAGTATAGCTCGAAGGGGTGGAGGCCTCTGCCTCTCAAGGCGGGGCGCCCCCGCCCGACTGGCGTGCGGGCCCACGGGGAGGGGGCGGGGGACGGCGGGGGGGTGCCTTCCGGCCTCGTTGTGGCATCTTGGGTCTGATGTGGTCCCTCTCCTCCTCCGCATAGTCAACCTGCTCCTCCTTCTTTTGTGTTTTTTGGCGATTGGCTGGGGACGGCGGGGGTGCACTCCAGCATCGTTGATACATCTTGGGCTTGCTCTGGTCCCTCTCCTCCTCCTCCTCCTCCTCCTCCTCCTCCTCCTCCTCCTCCTCCTTACAATCAACCTACTCCTCCTTCTTTGTGTTCTTGGCGATGGCTGGCTCCTCGGGGCTCCACGGAGCCTCCGGAGGTCTACCTTCTGAGTTCCCCAGGGGACCCAGCCCCTGCTCCTCCTCATGCTTCGCCTGTCTTAAAGCCAGCCGCGGGAGCAAACGCTCGACGTGCCAGACTATCCTTCACTCTCTCGCCCTCAGGTCGGCAACCTTCACGCTTCGCGCCGCAGGGCGCACGATGTGCGACTGCCTTCGTGCCCCTGAGGTGTGGGGGAGGAGCGAGCGAAAACGAAATGAACGACGACGCAATGGCGCATCACGTGGAAACCAGGGCGCTTACGCGCGGCCTCACGTGACCATTTTACGAGCTAGTGCCTGCGAAATCGGCTCCGTTATCTTGAGTCGCTGATGTATTCCTGCCGCCCACAATCCCAATTCGCCGCGCGCATCTAATCCTGCAGGCTGCGTCTCCTTCTGGCCGCGGCGCGTGTGTCCTTCGTTCGCCAGGCCCGACGGAAGCGGAGCCACGCGCGAGAGGGAGAGGGAGAGGGAGAAAGGGAGAGAGCGGGCTGTTGCTCTCGCGTAACGGCGCCAAGTCTGGGGAAAACCAGAAGGAACCGATACCGTTGCTCCACAGAACTCGCCTGGGGTGCGTTCCGACCAACATCTCGAGACGAGTCCAGCCGTGGCAACGAGGGCCTCCCGGGAGGCCCAAACCGGCGAGAACGAGGCGAGGGTAACGTCATCGGTGCAGTGGGGGCCCGACCACGGGAAACCTTCCACAGGAAGACCAACCCGGAGACCCCAGGCCGTCCCTTGCTCTTCGGTGTGGGAACGTCACGCTCTCCATGGCGAGACCATCGGGACCCAGGAGGCCCAGGGCACCCCTGGAGGCGAGCAGGGTGTTTCTCGGCATGGCTCTCCACTGTGCCCTCTCCTCCTCGCGCAGAGACGCCGAGCCAGCTCCTCGGAACTGCGCTCACACGCGCGGGCGCGGCGGAGGCCGTCCCCCGCCGGCCCGCGCGGAGAGGCGAGGGCGACGCCGCGCGCGCCTCGGCACCGTGCAGATCTGTCCCGAGGTGCTTGTTCTAGGAGGGGGCGAGGGAGTCGTCGTCGTCGTCGTCGTCGTCGTCGTCGTCGTCGTCGTCGTCGTCGTCCTCGTCGTCGTCGTCCTCGTCGTCGTCGTCGTCGTTGTCGTCGACGGCCTGTCTGCTTCTGCCGCGCTCTCGGCCGCCGTTCGCCCGCGAGGCCCCGGGAAGTGGAGCCGCGCGGCGCGTGGGATTCTGCGCGCGGAGCTGTCGCTGCCCGCGAGGATCGGGGGTTGCCAGAGGTTGCCAGAGGTACCCCTGGCCCACAGTGCGCCCAGCTCTTCGCTCGATGCCGATGCCGCCCGATCCGAGACACGCTTCGACTCAGTCCGGCTGCCAGATTTGATGCTGACTGCTGTGGCGTTTGGGCCAGAGGAGGCAATTTTTTGGGGAGGCTTCGCCCAGGGTGCGGGGGGCGATGCATCGACCCCCGATGTCCCATGGACCGCCGATTCAGGGGCCCCTCAGTATCGTTTGACCGACCCCCATCCCCATCCCCATCCCCTTCGAGACCCCCACCAAACCCCCCCTGGTTGGGGATGCACCCCTCGAACCCCGAAAGGGAACGGCATGCATCCCCATCCAGGGGGGCAAACCGGCCAGTGGGGCCCAGCCCACGCCGGTGGGGATGGGAATCGGTCAAGCGATACTCGGCCCAGCAGACCGACCCGCCCAGGAGCGTGCAGCCTCGCACTCGGGGGCCCATCGCCGACGTCTGTCGGCGACGCCTCCCCGACTCCGGCTCGATGGCTCCACCCGGCGCCGGTGCTCCCGCCGGTGTCGTTGCCCCTCCCTTCGGCCCCAGGATTTCCAAAGATAGACGAGCGCGTTCCGCTACTCGCAGGGTAGCTACTCGCAAATGGCCATGGATACGCCGCGGGGGATCTACGATAAATGACATCAAAGCCGACATGTGATTTACTCGGACATTTGCGAGCAGGCACTTTGCGAGTAGTGGACCGCGCTCGGTGAGAGAGGCCCACGCGGCTTCCAGAGCGCGCCTCACGAGGCCCAGGGGGCCCATGGGGCTCCAGAACGGAGCCGGAGCCGGATCGGAGCGGCTGCGCCAGGAGACACGACGGCGCCCCTGCAGGCATCGGGCGGTATCGCATCGCCAGAGGTGCCGGGAGCGAATCGGACCAGGCCCGCCAGGATCGATACCGAATCCCGATCGACCTGATCGCAGTGGACCCTGCTGACCAGTGAACGACCCGCCGCCTCTCAGGGAGCAACAACAAATATCAAGGACACGCCGCCGTGGGGGATCCACCAGCGTGTTACTGCTGGAGAGGCTCCAAACCTTCGGACGAGAAGAAGGCGTAGCACGCTGACAGGCTCCCATCGGCAGCGTGCACAGCGTGTCGCGGCGAAGGCCCTGGCGACACGCTGTGCCCTGCAAGCGGATGGCGTGTCGCTCCGCTCTGCGGGGCTGGAGACGGAGAACAGCTTGGGACGTTGACGCTGCGTGGCCGGGAAGCGGATAGCACGTCGCACCATGTCGCACCGAAGCGTGGTGGGCCAGAACTGGCGGAGCACGAACCAACAATTTCTGACCTTACTCTTTTCCCTCCTGAGTTGCGCCCACCATCTGCACATACGTCTCCGTGCGTCGTGGACGCCTGTTGGCTTCGCACGCGGGCTTGCGGCGGCCGTTCTGCCCGCTTCACACCAGGGCAGGCGCGTCCCGTATTGCAGTGGGTTCGCGTCGGGATTGGCACGCCGAAATGGCCGAGTTCTCTGCAGACTGTCAGGTTGTTGGGCTGGGGCGGCGTTGGCTCGAATGTCGTGAAGGAAGGGGTGGGAGTGTGTTGGCTCATACGGTCCCCCCTCCCCTTCCCCCGTTAGCTCCTCCTCCTCGTCCTCCTCATCCTGCGCTCTCACCTCCTCTCCACTGCATCCAGCTCTCTACGCTGTCCGTGGCGGCACGTGTAAGGAATGCCTCATTCTGAATCCTCCTCCTCTTCCTCCTCCTCGTTCTCCCGCTCCTGCCTCTGCTGCTGCGCCTCATCATGCTCCGCCCTCTCCTGCTGCTGCTGCTGCTCATCCTCATCCTGTTCCTTCTTCTGCGTACGAGGATGCACGCCTCCTCCTCTCCTAATCTTGCTGCTTCTGCCCTCGTCGTCGTCCTCCTCCTCCTTCTCCTCCTCCTCCTCCCTCCCTCCCTCCCTCCCTCCCTCCCTTCCCCCCTCTGGGGGAACCAACAGATACCGATACCGCTACTCCCTAGACATCTCCCGAGGTGCGTCTTGACCAACATTTCGAGGCGAGCCCAGCGGTGGCGACGAGGGCCTCCTAGGAGGCCCAAGAGGTGAAAACGAGGGCAGGGCACTCCGGATCTCACAAGAAGCGTGGGGGTGGGTGGGTGGATCGCGTGGGGGGTAGAAATGAGCCGTCCCACGGGGGGCGTGGAGGCGTGCAGATCTTGATGCCTCGGCGTCGTCCAGCGGGGGGGGTGTTTATCTCGAGATCTGGACCAGCGGCAGGAGTAACTACCTTTTCCTTCTTTGGCTCCCTCCCTCTGCTCTCCCCCCCTTCCCTGCCCTCCTCTCCTTCCCCCAACCCGTTGGCTACCACGTGAGCTTTCGTGGCCATGAATCTGCCGTCGGCTGAAGCCCTACACGCCGCTACAGTCATCGGCCTGACCTAAATACCGATGAATAAGGAACAAAGCCCCTTTTTCCTCAGGGATGAAGCATAGGGAACGATACATAATAACGCCGAAGGAACGATCAATGATGCATGCAAGCCTAAGGAACGACCGAGCCCCTTTTGAAAAGCAAGTGTTCCTTATTAAAGCCGCTCGCTGCACGCTGGTCCCAGGCAGGCTGTGCTGCCCGGCGGAACGAGACGAACAGGGAGAACCAGGCAGACACGACGAACGCGCAGGCGGGAGGCCAGGGCCACCGGGGCGGGCGGGTAGGGGACAACTTCCTCGTCGCTTCATATCCTGCCCCTCGCCCTCGTCCTCCTCCTCATCCTCCTTCTCCCCATCCTCTTCGTCCCCCTCTTCTTCTTCTTCGTATTCCTCGGCCTCCTCGTCCTCCTCCTCGTCCTCCTTTCTACTCATTCTAAAGATTGACGGTCCTCCTTCTCCCCCTCCCCCTCCTCCTCCTCGTCCTCCTCCTCCTCTTCCTCTTCCTCCTCCTCTCCGTCTCATCCTCCTCTACTCATCGTTCAACCCGTCACCCTCCATATCTTCCTCGTCCTCCTCACTGACTCCCTCCTCCTGCTTCCTCCTCCTCCCCGGCTCGCGGGCCTCGGTGCGGCCGCGCAACAGCTCGCAAAACAAGTCCCGCCACCGAACGAAGAACGGGTTCCCCGGCTTGGTCGCCAAGAACCTACGCAGAAAGGCGAGGCACCAAGCGACGTGATGTACCCACGGCGCGACACGGGCGGCGGGAAAAACTGGAGAGGGGTAGGCAGGATGCACATGGCCGAAGGCGAAGCATCAGCGATACTGTGGACACGAGGCACGCGCAGGGGGACAACACATACATACATACACACATATAGATGTATGCATACATATCTACAACGCATGTATGGGTTATCGTGTCTCTGTGTATACATACACAGAGTTGAGTACATGCTAGATATTCGCCGATCCATCTATCTACATATATGTCGATCGATTTACATATCTGGGTACCAGTACCTATATACACACCAATCAATACATCTGTCGATGCACGTCTGTATACCACTGTAACAATCAATACTTCTATGGTACATATGTATATACATGTGTGTGTTTGTCTGTCCATAGATCGATGAGTCTAGATAACTGTCCATCTATGTGTACATACACCAATGCACACCAACGAATGTATGGATACACACATATATACACCTGTGTCTATACATCTATAACTGTCGCTGAGGGTACCTATATTCGCATAGACGGATCTGATTGAATCCAGGTCAGGCGAGCGTGCTTGGTCTGGAGAGCCCCGGGAGGGCCCCAGACGACCCCAGAGTCCCCCGACGAAGGCCCCAAGACAGGCCAAGAGAGCGGTTAGAGGCCTGTCAACAAAAGATTCAAGAGGGCCCCGAATCGCCGAGCGATCGGTCCAAGACGCTCCAGATGGCCTCCAGACTGCCCCAGAAGCCTTCAAGACGCCCCTAGAGGCCTCCAAGAGTCCTCCCAACAAAGCTCCAAGAGGCACTCCCATACCCTGCAGAAACTATGCCTTTCAAACATATGCGACTTTTCGGCTTTCGCAGCGTCCAAGACGGCCCAAGGAGGCCTCCCAGATCACCCCAAGACGGCCCAACAGGCCTACAAGAGGGCCCAAAAACGCCCCATTGGGCCCCAAGACGGCCCAAGAAGCGCCCAAGACGGCTCAAGAGCGTCTTCAGAGGGTTGCCGGAATAATCTGAATTGAGATGTCGAGCCCTCCGCCCCAAGGAGGCCCCCGAGACCGCCAGCTGGCCCCCAAGAGGCCCCCGGAGAGGTCCCACGTGGCCTTCTGACAAGTCCCAGTAACTCTGACCTCGAAGCCAACAAACGACCGCGCACCATATCTGATCATATACCCAACCGAGGAGCCTGGGCACCCGAGCGAAAGGGCCACGACAGCAATTGCTGCTGCCCGTGGCGCCGCCGCCATGCCACGCTGAGACTTTGAGCCTCACCGAGACTTCGCGATTGCGACAAGGCAAACGATCACAAGGATGGGCTTTAAGGATGCAAGGGCCTTGGACGCCCATTTCGAAGCGTTTCAAGCGGGGTGCGGCCAAGGAAAGTGGCCAATGATAGGCCGAGGAGGTAAAGATGGGCACCCTCGGGAAAATCGCCAATCCTTGGTATGCGGCTTCACTGCACATTAGGTTAACTGGAATGCGAACGGAAGACTTGGGCCAAAATGAAGGAGGAACAAGAAAAATATGAGGAGGAACGCTGGAAAGAAAATGCCATGGGCATCTGGAACTTCCCTTTTGCGGCTGGCAATCGCTTCGGCGAAAGTGGCCCAGCCCCAGCAACAGCTTCGGCAAACGCAATTTGGGCGTGACCTACATGGCTGAGATCATTGACCCTCATCGGCAGCCCTTCCGGGATTTCCAGGTGCGTGAAGCGTGAAATGTTGCCTGTTGCCCCCTGCCGCTCCTGGCGCGTTCCCAGCCTGGCTTGACCCTGTCAAGGTTCTCTCCTGTGTCTCACTCCTCCAGGATGCCCAATCTTACTTTCAATCTGGTTTGGCAAGGCTTTCAATATTCTCAAGATGCCGTTTAAACTACCTTGATCAGTTGCATTGGGAAGCTCTCTGGAGACTCCGTGCCATAGATTGAAACACGCTGGCGACGAAACATACTTGAAAAATGCTTAAGTGAACATCAATAACATGTAAGGTCGGCGACACTTGCGATAAGCCCATGTCACCGTTGGAAAACGCGCAAGCGCAGCGCAACGCGGGTCTGATTCGCATACACCAATTCGTAAAGCATGCTGCCGCCGGGGAGACTGGCCCCCTCTCGGGCCCTTCCTGGCCCTCGTAGCCGAGCCCTCTTGGAACCCTCTTGGACTCTCGGGGCCCGCTTGGGGCTCGGAGCCCAGGAGGGCCCTCCCCAGAGCTCGCGAGCCATGAGGCCGCCACAGGGCCCGCCTCCTCGGCTCGGGCGTTGGCAGACCTGGGTTTAGTTGGGCCTGGCTTAGTGCTCAGGACTGGGGGGCGCCCCCCAAACCCCGTTCCACTAACTGGAACTGCCGTCGCCCGAAAAGACACCAGCTACGGCAGACCTGGTCCAGTGATCCTGGCCAATTTAGGGGTTCCAGGGCCCTACTACTCACCGGGTCCCCATCACCTGGGGCCCTGGCTATACCTCATCGGCGCGCCCGGGGGGGAAGTGAGAAGGGGGGGGCCTTCTCAGAAGACCTCGGAAGTCTCCTGGCCCTCAGAGAAATTTTCTAAGCCTTCCCCGAAGGCGCAAACAAAAACCTCTCCGAAGGCGCGAGGGCTTCTGACAAGTCTCGCGGCCTTCTCGAGGAGGAGCAGGGGGACTAGAAGGAAGAGGAGGAATAGGAGGAGGAGGAGGACGACGATACCTTAGACCTTAGACCATCTCATGGAGTCCTGACTGTGCCAACAAGTCGCACTGCATCTCTGCCTGAACTCAGACTGCAAGTCGACACGCACTAGGGCTCTGAGGCGGGTCACTACGGACCCCACATTCACTCCCTGAGGCGAGACCTTCGCTCACCCCAGCTGAGGCACTGGCCACGACTGGCAGGCCAACAGGCACGCAGCCCGCAGATGGCCGCCAGCCCAGAAAGGCTCAGAGAGCTCCTCTCCTCCCCCAGCCCCGCTCCGACCCACCGCCCCGACCCTTCCCTCTAGCCTGCAACGGCCTATTACGAGGCAGCACTACAGTCGGGATTGGCGGCAGCCCAGGGTCACTGTACGTCGTAGCTGATCGTGATCGGCCTGGGCGCTCCAGAATATCTGGCGCCACCAATCCTCTAGAAATCAACTCCTGAAGCCGCGAACTTCCACTCAAGCTCCGTCTGACTTGTTCACCCAGGCCATAAGCTCCCTCTCTATGGGCCCCCGTGGAGCCGATCCCAGAAGAAACTCCCCGCCCTCGGCCTCGATCACCGCCTCCAAGAGCCTCGCCGCTTCCACGCCCATCGGCTTGTTGAAGTCGGTCCGCATCATGATGATCGCCCTGTTCTCCTTCTTCAGCGGCTTGCAACGAAAGTGCGGAACCGCTCTGCCGATCACTTTCAGCGAGATGTCCTCGCTCATATACTGCTGCCACCAGTCCTTGCTGTCCAGAACCAATTGCTTCTCGACCTCTTCCGTAGATCCCGCTGTAGGAGTCCGTGTTGCACAGCGCTGCATTGCCGATGCGAAAATCTGGAGGTGCGGAGGACCCCTGCCCTTGAAGTCCTGCTCTTCCCCCGCCTGCTGCTTGGCCTTCATGTCCTTGCTCTGCTCGTCGTACTTCTTGCCCGCCACGACCGGGCAAGCTGGAAGCCCTCTGTCGAGGGCGATGTCCCACCTGAGGAACACGACGCTGGCCACGTCCCCGAGCTCGCGCGTCACGGTGAGCAGGAGGCGCGCGACCTGCGCCACGACCTTCGCCACGTCCTTGTTGCCTTTGCCGTCGCCCTTCTTGGCCTGCTTGTTGCCGCTGCCCCCCGTCGGCTGGCCGCCGCTGCCTGCTGCCCCAGCGCTCGGCGGTGCGGTGTCGCCATCTCGCTTCCGGCCGCTGAACCAGGAAGGCAGCGCCAGCTCCGCCATCGAGAGCTGCTCGCTGATGTGTAGAGCGCGCGGTACTCAGAGGAGGTAACTTCCAAGGAAGATGCTCTGAAGCCAAATGGTTACATAGATCAGGAAGATCGCCAGCCTCGTACAGACACAAGGAACACTTTAAGGATCGAGGCTGCTGTAGTTCCCCCAGTGCCCACGGTCCCGTAGTACAACAGCTGCCCCTCATAATAGACCCCAAGGGATGCCGTGAAGCTGTGATCTTACTCGAGAATATCTGCCTGCAGTGCACGCATATGTTAGTGGGTGTGATCACATGTGCCAAACTACGTACATTGTGATGAGCCCGATAATGGTTCATAAGTGCTTTACGTGTGTGAAAAGCTGCTCCACATAAGCCCGTCTCTGTACATGCCCTGCACACGTGCTGTGGATCCCAATCCAGAGCTGCAGGGGGCCCCTCGAGCCCCGCTGACGCCGGTACGAAACCTGGTGGTGGGGCCTGAACCCGAGACCTCGAAGCCCTGAGCACCCCCATGTCAATCGTACAGAAATCCTCCATCTCCTCCTTATTACCGAACACATTCATGTCATTAAGCAACGCATCGATCGCCTCGCTTTCGACGACGCCCGCTGCAAACTCAAGATCGTGCGTCATCTGAATCAGCCACGGGGGCGCTGCCTCAGATGGGACCCCTTCGAGCAACTGTGGTGGGGGCCCAAACTCTGCCTCGCCCTCGAGGTCCCCGAACATCGCGCACAACGGTTGGATGTGATGATCGGGTCCAGCTCTGGTACCACTTCAAACGACGAATTCTCATCTCACACTCGCTGTCCAGCAGTCTCCAATAGAGAAAGACCTGAGGATGAGCCAGAGACCGTGTCCTATTTTCCTCCCTGAGCGTGGCGCGACCAAGCATCGCGATGCGAGCGAGAGAAGCCAAGCAATTGTCCAGGCGCCGATAGTCGGCCTTGCTGAGCACAAAAGCTTCCAGGCCAGAAAGTAGAGCATTCTGAACATTGCCCACCAGCAGAAGCTTGCGCAGCTTAAAGGGGATCGCCAACGACCAGATCCCTCCAATTCTGTAGAAAGCAGTACGTGCAGCTGAACACATCCTAGTGACCTCCTGGCGACTCGAATCCCGAACTCTAATGTGGGGGCCCAGATACCTCACGCTGTCTTTGATTTTACCCTGGATGCCCTCGATCCCCTTTCGAACCACCTGTCGAGCTCGATTCCCCTGGGAGGCGAAGTACGTCAAAAACTCTTGCTTCCCGAGATTCTGAACGTATCCGAACGGCTTCATCACCGAGTCGAAAACCTCGTCCATCTTACGAACCTTCCCAAAGAGGTCCCCCAGGGTCATCTCGTCGGAGGCCACTACTGTTTTGTGTACGTCATCGGCATACTTCAACAAACTCAAGTCACTCTGGAAGTTCAGCCATTTTGAAACCAAGAAGCGGGACATCGGGTCGGACCGGCTCCACTGGTATGCCCATTGAAGCGTCGCCCGAGAGAACGTGCCTAAAAACGCGGCCACCGTGAAGGGGCCCCCCATGACGCCACCTTGGAACGGCTTCACCAACAGGGGCCCCTCATCAGCAGTTAATTCAATCATGCTATCCTCGTACCGCTGCTGGCAGAGGGCGCGGTTAGCCTCCGAGGTGGAGTGAGCAATCGTGATCTCTAATTCAGACCAGTCCGAGCTCCCAAAGGCATGTGTCATATCCTTGAAGCTCACGCCGAAGGAGCGCCGAACGCGGCACAGTCGCCAACAAGTCACCTGGGCGATGAAAATGGCGGCCTCGCGCCTCCTGTGGGCGACGAAGCCGTGGTCTTGCTGAGAGGGCGCAACATTCAACGCCTTGGAATAAAATGCTTTCCCAAGAACTGGCAACGCATGTACAACTCGTTTCCCTCGGGGGCCGTCTTGTGCGCTTTCGGGGTAGGCCAGCCCCTCGACTACGATGCCAATATAGCGGGGCCTTCTGAGAGTGTCGGACCTTCGCGAGGCCCGCCGAGAGGATCCACCAGAACCCAGGAAACTTGGGCATCGAATCGTCATATCCTACTCCCCCTTGTTGTTGCGCCGCCCTCCAGTTGGGGTAAAGTAGCTGATGCCAAAGCTCTAGAGGTGCACTACCTTCGGGAACTGCTCTTCTCTTCGGAGCCCTCTTGATGTAAGACCTGATCAACTTTAGATCCTGCTGGGCTAACTCCTGCTCCTCCTCCGCCACGTCCCTGTCGTGCGTCTCCCCCTCCCTCTCTGCCCTCCAACCTTCCCAGTCTGCCTCCCTCCACCATCATGCCTCCTTCTCCCCCAGGAGCTCGCCAGACTTGGAGCCACTCCTCCCGACTCGGAGGGGGCCCCTGCACATGGCGCCCGTCTCTGTTCTTCGGGCCCATTCTACAACGAGCCGCGCGCCTGGATAGTGAGAGCGCTTCAGAAGTATACCGCCGTCGCCACTGCTCCGATGCCTCTCCCACCATCTGAGAGCGAAGAGATCTGGCAGCGCGACGTCGTTCAGCAGAGAGTTCAGCGGGGAGAGCACGGAGCCCAGCATCAACCCGTTGCGCATCGTCATCGTTCATGCCCAACTTTGTGCCACGAAGACGAACCCGTGCAGCCGGAAGTTGACGCAAGTTGACGCCGTCTCTCAGCATTCTCTTTGTACTCGGGACTGGTACGACTTGGCTGTGAGAAAATTCGCTGTCCAGCAGAAATCAGCGCATCCTCCAACCGCTCGAAGAGTTCGTCGGGGGAGGCCTGATCTTTCAAGAAGGCAAAAGGTAGTTTGTCGATCGCTTCCTTGGCCGCCGTCAAGTACTCACGCCTGCATTTTCCCTGGCGAAGCGAAGACATCATAAGATCTCGGTTCCAACGGAGCTGCGTAGAAGTAGGTCCTCCCAGCAAGCCGGCCTCGTCGTAAGTCAGCGAGCGCATCACAGGTACATGATCCCGCGGCGATTGTCCACGAATTGCTTGCAATTTGGCGCCAAGCCCCTTCAAGGGAAATCACCCTCTCACCAAGTGCTGCGTCGCCGAGGGATAAAATACGTAGTCGATACGACTCGAAGCGCCTTCAAGCCCAAACAAAAATTGTTGAAGCTGACCAGCGGCATTACCAGCCACCATGAAATGAGACCCCATGCGCCCCCGCGGCAATTGTCCAGCACCCCGAAGAATCATCTCCTGCGTCGGTTCGTCGCTCACCACTGAAGTGTCCACATCTTCCCACCCATGAGAGCCGCGAGACTGACCTATCCCATCATTAAGATCACAATAGAGCAGCGGGGTGCACCGATGCGGTAGTTCACTCAACACGCAAGACAGCCATGCCACCAAGAGGCGCACCGTCGATAGATACTGAGGCCTCTGAGCACGATACTTTGGTCCCGGAGGAAAATAAACGACGATGGGACAAATGTCGATCGGACCACTTTTTGCTCGTGCAGCTAGTGCTCGGCCTCGCGCCTCTGGTGGGCTGGACATGTTCTGATGATGTTCTGCTCGCGAACCTGACTGCCAAAGCCAATGGCGCACCCGCAGCTGTTGTTACTGCACGGCGAATCGAAAAAAGTGACTCCAGAACAAGTCGGCCTGCACAGTGCTGGCGTAGAACTCTGAGCCCTTGCTGCGGACGATCCGCGCTCTTCGTGCCTGCCAATGCTACTGCATCAAAGTCCCGTGTCTCCCCCATAATCTCACATAGCCTCTCGCCGTTTGCCCGCAGAGGGTTGGGGCCGAGGAAGCGGAGGACGGACGTGACATCCCCCCCTGCCGACGGCCTCGCCTCGCCTCGCGAATGGGAGACGCCGCCAGGATGACCGCCTGGCGGGCGCGGCGAGCGGCGCGCTGCGCGCAATCGGCTCGGACCGCTTGGAGGGGGGCGAGGAGGAGGAGGAGGGGGGGGGGGCGGGGGAGGGAGGGGGGGGAGGGATTTTTTGCTGCTAGAACCTGGCACGCATTGCCTCAGCTAGCCGCCACAAAGGAAAAAAGGGGCAGCGGGCACACTAACAGGTGCAGCTCTTGCCGCCCACTTCTGCTACGAGCCCTCTCCATGTGAGCCGCCCCACGTTGAGGGCAGCCCCGTCAGTGCCGAGCCCTGCCATGTGAGTCGCCCTACGGTGGGGGCGACCCCGTCGTTCTGCAGTCCCGCGAAGAGAAAAATGCAGAGCTCCTTCCATGTGAGCCGCCCCACGTAAAGGGCGGCCCCGTCTTTCAGAAAGGCCCGCCTCGCCCAAGCTCCCGCCTCAGCCTCGCTTCCGCCGCCAGCAGGGAGCTCGACCGAGCGGCGGCAGCAGGCTGCTGCGCGCGGCTCCACGCCACGAGCTCGTCCCACATCTCAGCGCGCTCGTAGACCGTGGGCATGCCTTTCGACCCTTTGCCTCGCCAGTCGGAGCTGTCGTAAGAGTCGCACGGCTTGCTATTGCCCTTGTTGCTGGACCCCTTTTTGCTGCACGGACCGTGGCCGTCGTAGGCGTCGGGGGTCGTGGGCTCCACGTTCTTCCCCTTGCCCTTGGCCTGGCCCGCGGTCCCATTCTTGCCGCGCGAGCTTGACGTCGCCGTAGCACTCGTCGAAGCCGCAAGTGTCCCGCTGCCAGCCGCGGGGGCATCAGGGCCAGCCTGGGCCGCGGGCCTCGCGCTCGTCGGGGCATCGACCACCCGCCCGTCGGCGGCCCGAGGAGCGTGCGCGGGGAGAGACGAGGCATCGGCCACCCGCCCGTCGGCGGCCGCCGCGGCCCTCGGACTTGCCCTTGCCCTTCCGTCCGTCCACCGCCGCGACGGCGTCGAGGAGGCGGCGTCGGCGGACGAACGGGCGATGGGATGCCGCGCCCCGCAGCTGGGCCCGAGCCACGATCATCCGCGCCCAAGCAACACCCTGGTCCAGCACGGCCCTGATGTGTACCGCGCAGCGGGCCGCCGCAGCGCCTCTGCGGGCGACGCGCGCCTCGACCTTGGCTCGGAGTCCGCGAAGCCGCAGACGGCAGGAGCCGAGCTGCTTGTCCTTGCGGCCCTTGCGGGCCAGCGCCAGCCAAGCGTCGCCGAGGGCGCCGCGGGCCCTCACCGCCTCAGGTAGTACACGAC